CAGGGAAAGGGAGACCAAGAGAAAGTGACTTCACACATGAGTACCCTGGGACACACACCTCAGCCCCAAGAGACCCTCGCCTGCAGTGGCCTCTCCTACCTTCATGTAGCCTTGGGGTAACTTTTCGTTTGCTAAAAGGACTTTGCAACTAAAATGTGTTTTTTTGGGGGGTTTGTTTTGGTTTTGGTCCTGGAGATTGAATTCAGGGGCACTCTGCCACTGAACTACATCCACAGTCCTTTTCATTCTTTTTTTTTTTTCTTTTTAAATTGACAGATATCCAGAATAATATTTTAATTTATTATAGATAACTCAAAACAGTTATAAAGTCAGTATGGTCATTGATTAAAATTCTATCATATTAAAGAACAAAATAGATATAACATTATTTCTGTTTTAACATATTCCTCTAATTTTTCTTTTCACAAAAATTTCTGGCTGGGGCTGGGGATGTGGCTCAAGCGGTAGCGCGCTCGCCTGGCATGCATGCGGCCCGGGTTCGATCCTCAGCACCACATACCAACAAAGATGTTGTGTCCGCCGAGAACTAAAAAATAAATATTAAAAATTCTCTCTCTCTCTCTCCTCTCTCTCACTCTATCTTTAAGAAAAAAAAAATTTCTGGCATGATGATTATTATAACTTTTAAATAAATGTAATATACTCCATGTCTGTCATAAGAAATGAAAATAAATCAATGTGAAATACTTTTCTTTTCATTCTTTATTTTGAGACAAGTTCTCCCTAAATTGCTTAGGCTAGCCTCAAACTTGCAATCCTTCTGCCTCGGCCTGCTGAAGCACTGGGATTACAGGTATGTGCCTAAAAAGATCCAAGTAAACCACAAGGAGAAACTACTTTCACCTATTATTTATTAATTTATTTTTATGGTACTAGGAATTGAACTTTGCTTTACCACTGAGTGATGTCCCCAGCCCATTTCATGTTTTAAAATTTTGAGACAGGGTCTTGCTAAGTTGCTGAGGTTGACATGGAACTTTTGATCCTCCTGCCTCAGCCTTTCTAGTTACTGGGATTTTAGGTGTACACCTCTGCATCCGGTTTGGGATGACTATTATTTAAAGGAAAAAAAAAGGGAAAATAATAAGTTATTGTCAAGAATGTAGAAAAATTGGACAACTGGTGGGAATGTAAAATGGTATAGCCATTGAGGAACAGTTTGGGGGTTCCTCAAAAAGTTAAACATAGAGTTACCATATGATCTAATAATTTCACTTTGGTATATACCCAAAAGAACTGAAAGCAGGAACTCAAACAGATATTTGTATACCAATGTTCACAGTGGCATTATAGCCAAAAATAAATAACTTCAGTGTCCATCAACAGATCAATGGATAAACAACATATTGTATATCCAAAAAGTGAAATATTTTTTATTCTTTACAAAGAAATACATTTCTGTCATGTGCATGTATGAATATGACATAATAAATCCCACTATTATAATATGCCAGTAAATAAAAAATAAAAAATTTCATTTCAAAAATGGATTTCTTTTTTTTTTTTAAAGAGAGAGAGAAAGAGAGAGAGAGAGAGAGAGGGAAATTTAATATTTATCTTTTAGTTTTTGGTGGACACAACATCTTTGTTTGTATGTGGTGCTGAGGATCGAACCCGGGCCGCATGCATGCCAGGCGAGCACACTACCGCTTGAGCCACATCCCCAGCCCTGAAAAATGGATTTCTGATGCATGCTACAACATGGGTGAATCTTGAAAATGCCCCACTAAGTGAAATAAACCAGGCAGAAAATAACAAATATATGATTCCTGTTACATATGTTCAATACAAAATTCAGGAAGTCATTATCTTAGATTAAGTTACTATGCTAGTCCCCAAGAAACTGGCTAAAAATCAGAATGGAGCCATTCAGGCTAAAGTTCCAGTCACCAGGCTAAAACTGAGCTGTTTATCTGAGCTTCTGAGAAATCAGGATTAGAGAGATAACAGCCACATTTCCCAACCAGGCAAGATCATAAAGTTCTCTCTGCTCTAGTCCTTTCACATAAAAAGGTAACCTGATGTTAACCAGTTATTTTTCCACTATTCTGTCTGCCTGTCCCTGCATCACAGAAACAGGGACTTTGAAGTGACCAACCCACTTTTCATTGTTTCTGCCTCCTCAGTGCCCCCCCCCTTTTTTTTCCCTTTTTGGTATTGGGGATTGAACCCAGGGTGCTTAAAGATCTTTTTATATTTTTTAGTTTTGATACAGGGCCCATGCCAAATTGTTTAGGGCCTTATAAAGTTGCTAAGGCTGGCCTTGAACTGGTGATCCTCCTGCCTCAGCCTCTCTAGTTGCCAGGATTACAGGTGTGTGCCACTGTGCCAGGCTCTCAGTCCTTTTCTATCTATAAAACTAAACTTCTCTACTCAGCTCATTGGAACGCTTAATCTATTTTATGAAGTGTTGCCCAATTCTATAATAAAAAATAAATCCAATTAAAGTTGACAATGTGGTACCCAGAATAGGCAAATTCACAGAGATAGAAAGTAGAATAAGAGGACTCTACTCATGGACTGGGGGAAGGGGAATGGGAGTTATTATTTAATGATTATGGAGTCTTCATTTGAAAACCATGAAAAAGTTTGGAAATGGATAGTGGTAAAAGTTGCAAAACATTGTGAATACACTTAATGACACTGAATCATACATCTAAAAATGTTTAAAATGTTGAAATTTTATTTGTATTTTTTGGTAGCAGAGATTGAACCCAGGGACATTTAATCACAGAACCACATCCCCAGCCCTTTTTATTTTTTATTATGAGACAAGTTGCTTAGGGTCTTGCTAAATTACTGAGGCTGGCTTTGAACTTGTGATCCTCCTTCCTCAGCCGCCTGAGCTGCTGGGATTACAGGCGTGCACCACCACACCTGGCAAAACAGTAGATTTTTTATTATGCATATTTTTACCATATACACACAAAAAACATCCAGGTCACATTTCTTTTTTCTTTTTTTTTTAAAGAGAGAGTGA